AAACTATATTTTACATTATTAGACAAATAATTGGTTATATTTTCTAACTTGCATGTAATACGACTGGAAATGTTTGAAAATATAGGTGGTAAAAACGAATTGTTGTACATGACTCAAACTTAGAAAATTATCAATTCTACGCCTTGGTCTTCATAAAGTTAGAATAGTTAAAATATTATTATTTACATTATACTAGTTGCTTTATAGTATTTTTCAAACGGAATTTTACTTCCTTATTTTTATCTAGCATTGTCATCATGCTCAAACTGGCAGTCTGCAATTAACAATTCTCTTCTGCAATGTTCATCTGGATTTCAGTTCGCATTTTGCCATGACGGTTGAAAACTTAAAAATAACCTTTTTAAATCTTTGATAAAAAACACATCAGTTAAATGCATTTGAACACGCTTCACATAGCATTAAGCTAATTTTCATTTTTGGCAGATATTTATTCAGATTTTAATCTTAGTTATTACTATGCTATGTTTTTTTGCTAAACTATGCTTTTTTGCTGGTGTTTTTATTTACGTAGTAAAAGACTTATCTTTTTATCTATTGAAAAACTAAAAAAATAAAGAAGAAGTAAGCTTATATATATTTATCTGTATGTGTATATTTATGCAATGACAGTTTTTTATGCAATCGCCACTTATGCCAATGTTTTATTGCTCTGAAATGAAAAGCTCAGAAGAAAACACGTGAAAATAAACAAAAATAACATTACTTGGTGCATAGGTTAAAACGACGGCTTCTTAATATTCTATCAACAAAACAGAAATTCTGCATTACTTACAAGGTGAAAACAGAAAACAGAAGGCAACTGAATACTGTGTAATGCCACAGTTGTCTCTTGAAAACAAGAAGAATTTTGATTTTTAGCTGTCTTTTTGATAAACCAATGAGGGTAAATCGTCCAGATAGTAGCCCCAATAGATGGCATTAAAAATGGTATAGCAAACTGCAAAACAAATGTATTTATATACCTGATTTAAAAATTAATTTGGGCAGAAACGACTGTTTAGATGCGAAATAATAAAAAAGAAATTTTTTTTTAGTTTTTGCTACTTTAAAACGGATAATTCAAATTTTTAAATTTTACACCTGGGAATATAACTCGAGAGCACAGATCTAACTGATCGCTATTTAGTCTGTTTGCCTGTAAAAAGTGTCACTGCTAATTTTTTTAGTCATTTCATTCTTTTCCAATACCACTGTCAAAAATAATCTCTTTTAAGTGCCAGTTTTTGGATATTATTTTGTTTATATATTTTCAACAGCTTTTTCAAATGTTAACATCAAAAAAAAATATTGCACTTTTGAGATTTAGATTACTTATAATAATAGCAAAGAAGAATTTGATTATACCAAAGCAACCTTTCTCAGTTCGTCTTTCGTTGGCTTCACTTTACGTCGATTTTGAAAGCCAACGATTGCAAGTTCAATTAGCGACGCCAAAATAAATACCATTCCACTAAAATTTTTTGTATCTTTTCTTCAATTCTAAGCTGCAAAACATTCACATTGACAAAAAAAAAAAAAATGAATATAAAAACTTACCTAAATAACCACACGTCGATTGCCTAAACAGAAAATTTTATCAATTTTTTCTTTGCAAAATGTATCGGTTAATTTATTAAAATTTTTAAATATATATTGCCACTTTTTGTTTTTTCGATGTTAGTCTAACTTTTAAGCTGTTGATCAATTTAATTTTACGGTAAATAATCTTGTTAAAGTAGTTTCATAAAGTACAATAAAATTCCAAAAAGAACAGAGAAAAATAGTGAGAAGAGAAACGAAAAGAAGGAAAAGGCATGACGTTATAGGCAAGAAAGAATCAGAAGAGCACAGAAGGCGGTAAAAACTTCACTTTGAGGTAGTTAACTCGAGGTAGGTCTCTGACAATACTGCCAAATTGAAATGTCATTGCTAGGAGAGCATTTACGCCAATCATTGTTCGAGCTGGCATTGCTGTTGGGCTGAGGTAGAAGGGGATCCAGGAAATAAATATGGTCATTAAGGTAGGAATAAAACCTATAAATATGTTTATGTGCAGTTCTTAACTCTATGACAAAGAATTTCTACCAAATGGTTGCACAAAAATATCGATGTTCTCAAATATCAAAATTAAAGTCAAGGTTCAGGATGACTGTCTTTTCACTTTCAACACATTCAGCTGAATAATTTAAGAAGGTTGCAAGAAACAGAAGTAAAACGGTAAGCTTAATAATACGGTTACAAAGCAAATTTTACTGATTGCTACAGTATTGTCAAAAAACATTACACATTTTTTTTTGTGCAATACTTTTAGCAAGCTTTAGAAGATGTTTTATAAATGACATCTACCTTGAAGCATATAAAAACCGTTACGTCTTCGAAACAAAAATGATATGGTTAGCTCATCCCAAACGCCTGCTGCATATAGCTAAAAAGAAGTCGTCTTTTGTAGACTAATTAATTACTACAATTTGACAGTTTCGGCTTCTTACAGTATTTACCTACTGTAAGACATCAAAACTGTAGAAGTTTTGCAATTTTTTAACTATACTTAGTTTATAATTAAGTAGAGTATGATAACGAGCAATAGTAAAACTTAAGGTTGCACAAGTTTGTCCTACTGTCAAGAAAAATCTCTTTAGTTTTTTTCTTTGAATTCTAGAATCTCAGTTGTTCTGTGCATTTTCTGAGTGTATCTCTTCAAGCACGTAAACTACGTTAAAGATAAGAAAATTTGCATTACTTATTTTACTTTAAATTTTCAAGCTTAAGGTTTATATAACTAATTACTGTTATTAAGTGCAAACAAAGCTCAAGTAGTTGGCAATCTAAGGTGCATGTACCGTTTGTTGCGATGATATTGAATAATTGACCATAATAAAATCAGGTAGTTCAATTTGCTTAAAAATTAACACAGCTTCTGGTTTATTCCACTCCATTCGAACATGCCGCGTATCGTAATTATAAGATTCTAAAGTTAGGAAGCAAGAAATGTAATCCATAGGAAACTTGGCCAAATTAATGACACATGGTCCTCTGCTTTTTACTCTCCAGTTGGACCAAATAGACCCTAAAACCTTCACTGTCAAGTTGCTTTGTCTCAAATACTGCACACTAGACTAGTCACTATAATTTATTACATTATCTTTTTCAAAAATTGACAGGTAAATATCGATTACCGTTAGGAAAAATCATGAAGAACACATTTCTGAACGGTGAGCTGTGGATCAGAGCATTTTTGGAATTGATAAAGCATGTGTTTGGTATCCATATGCTCTGTTGCATGGTAGAATCAAAGCTAAGGTTGTCTTTGCACGGCAGTAGAGCACTGTAGACGAGTGCTGGATCCTCCCAAAATTCATTTACGTAAAGATCTGAAAAGAATTTTTTGATTGATATACTTTCTTAGCAAAGCTGTTTGACAAATTTTGCTTGCAATCAACAGCGGCTTTTTAGGTAAACAGAAAAAAAATTTTTTTTTGTTTTCTTTCACTTAGATAGATGACTTTTCGTAAAGCGAGTGAGAAAATTGATATGTGCAATCTGATCTTGATAGATGTAAAGTACCGGAAATATAGAACACTCAACTTTTGACAAGAAAGTATTTGCAAACAAAGATTTTTTTGCGAACATTGCAGAGAATAAATTTAAAAAAAAAACTTTTATAATTTCTTTTTTAATTTTTAAGGGATGTGACTATACGTTATAAGTTAATTCAGGAGGTGAAAAATACAGAGATTTATTCAAAAGCAAAAATGAATTAACGAGTTTATTCTTTTTATATACTGTTTGTTGCGTCCAGATTTGAATAAGTATATATA